AAGTCGAGTCGAGTTATGAGCGGAAGTCAGGACACCCTCGCACACAGACACAGACACAGACACACTGTTGTGCAGCCAGGACCCTCACACACACACTCACAGACAGCACTTCGTCACACTTGCCAAGACAATGGGACTAGACAGCCAGACAGTCAAACAGACAGACACCTTCCTTACTAACAACGCGTCGCAATCCCAAAGCTTTTGGCCGGGGACCTGCACTGTTTTCGGACTGCATTCAAAAATACTGTCTAAAATTAGCCATTTTTAATGGGGATCCAGCAGCTTAAAAGGAAATGAAAGCACTCAAAGGACACCTAAGCTTGCACACAGCAACGTGTTGATTACAGTTTTGGTGATTTTAAAACCCGCTTTCCTATTGCACTTAATAATCACATAAAACGTTGGTTTTCTGCTTACTGTGAGCTTAAAATTACAAACTAAAGCTACAGAGAGAAAGAAAAAACAGCTATTGCAACTCTGGTTTTTATATTTTATACTGATTATAGTTGCTACATTTTTTTAAATTAGATTTTATATTTTACTTAGTGTAAGGTTTCATTGTCTTCCGCTAATTTTTTATGATGAGCATACAGGTTTTAATATCTTACGTTAAATGGATTGTATTAGGTTTTCAAATGCCTTCTGTTAAAATATTTTGGAAGAAACTTCCTTTGTAAGCTTAATTTTTTTCCCATTTTAACCTGTATCTTTTCGAATACAGTTAGCTTAAAGGATCTCAAGAATGCCAGAACAGAACTCCCTTTGAGTCATCTCTGTTTTGTTTTGTTGGCTAAGTGGAGCTCAGTCAGCGGCAACTTTGGCTAATTGAAAACGCGGATTAACACAAGAATAGAGCTGTAGAGGGGAAATCAGTCCGTATAACTACCCTCCGGCAGCTCCAACAACACTTCATTTTCCCCCAGTCAAAGGGCTATTTAAACTTTCACAGCATTTTTTCGATAGCTTGTGCTAGCAACACCTTTGGTGTCTAAGGGCTGATAACTTTTCGGCTTATGTGCCGCCTCTGTGTTGAAATGTGTGTCCTTTTTGAGGCAACTAACTGGCAATCTATTATACGTGTCCTTTGACCGTAACCAAGGCACACACATAGGCCAATGTACATACATATATTTGGGCCAATGTTACCTTTCGGCCTGGCTGGCTGCCTTGTGCGGGCCTTTATTGAAAATTGTTCAATTTGGAAGGACATTTTCGCACCCCCTCAGGTCCCGGCTAATGCACACAATTTGCTTTGTATATCCGTTTTACGGAGCTGGTTCTGCTCTTGGGCCTAAAAACATTAACAATTTCTCAATGGGAGTTTTATGAAGCAAAAGGGTTGAGCTGAGCTCTAAAAGAAAGCAGGAAAAAGAAACAAGAACAAGGCGACAATTACTTAGAGGATCGCAACTTTAACTTTCACTCCAATCAACTGGCGGAGTGACAGCGGCAATTGTCCTGGCTGACATGGATGCGACAAGAGTCCTGTTCTGTTTGCAACATGCTGCTTCCGTGTTGCGGTTTCGAGTGCCTGGCTAGCTAACTGCTGCCATTGCTACTAATTATGCATGGACTGCAGGGCAACAAACCGCGCTGATGTTGACACACAGCCAGAAAGGGTTCTGCCCTGCTATGCGCTGCTCTGAATCTGAATCTCGAGATGAAGATGGAGATGCAGACCGAAACCGAGATGGAGATGCAGCCAAGGAGCCGCTGAAGTAGCTCGCAACTGTCACACGGACGACTGGAGATCCCTGCTCGTTCTTCAAGACATAACTGCGTGCTGCCATGTGTGTCATTACGCTGAGAGAAAATATATGAGCTAAAAATAATATTTTCCAAGTTTAATTATTGTTCAGAGCTTAGCTCATGATTTATGTATATTTTGAAACGTTAACTTGTCTTTTAAAGAGTGTCCTTGCTAATTGACATACTTTATTTTTACTAAGAACTAAGCATATAGATACTTTTACTTGCTCTAAAATTCTCTAAATATGGCTAGAGATTGATTTGAAATAAATATATTTTTCTCTATTCTCTAGATTTTAAAATATCTTACAAACATATGGAAAACTTCCAACCTTTTTTATGTAAGCCCCTGCTATAATTAATTTTTATAAATGCTTAGGATTAATATATTATTTTACATCTTTGAAAGAAAATCAGTGAGCTTGGAAAGATGTTTATTAGGCAAGGGTAGGATTTAGTTTGACCGAAAGTTTATTTCCGTGTTGCATCTTCCCTATTTTTTTCCGTGCATTCATGAAGTGGTATGAGGGTTTTTGTGCGTTTTGTGATATTTTCTAATTTTCACAAAATAAGCAATTCTCACGTCTTTGTCCTTCTGCCTCGTTCGCGCATTTCTCCTGAGCCGCTGGCCCGTGGTGTATGTGTATCCTTCGCTGAGGATTCAATTCCATCCTGGGCTGTTCTGTTCTGTGCTGTGCTGGGCATGTTGTTGTTTAGCCAACGGGCTGCAGGTGGCAACGCCAAATGCTTTGTACTTCAAAAGCAAGTCAATTTGCAACTGTGGGCACGTGTGGAGGTGTTCCAACCTCAGGAGCCCTCGCTACACGATTGTCTCTGTGCCCCTGCATTGTTTCTCTGCCACATTGGTTCATGGTTTCCTTTTTTTTGTTTGCTTCGAAAAGTGAAGTAAATTTGTTTTATTTCTGCTGGCAATCGATTCACATTTAGTTATTTCGCTGGCTTTGATGTCGGAGGGGAAACACCCTCTTAAATTTCCCGCCAGCAGCAGTTTTTTCCCCCACTCGCCGCATGAATAATATTTTCATCGTCTTATTTTCTTTACAGGTAAGCCCCAACCACAATACCAAACATAGTCCCCCACGGTTCAAAGTGAGTAACATGCATTTGTGCCCTACTATAAGTGAGTTACTTCTATTTAATAAAATAATTAAGCATATTTTTAAATCATATTAATATTATTTATATCAAAGGAGAAGCTCAGTGTGGCAGGTAAAATAAATCGCTACGCACTAAGTATAAATTAGCAATGGCAATGTAATTACACTTTCATTAGATTAAAATATCATAAGTGCCATAAAAATTAAGTTATGCCGGTGGGCGAGCACAATGGAAATGAAATAATCAGCTTAGCTCGACTGCGGGCAAACATAAAAGTCCGACCACACAAAGGAGCCTCGTTGCCTTCGAGGAGCCTCGTTGCCAGGACACCGGCCAGGACTCATTGTTTTGGCAGGGCATTGGGTCCGGCATCGCTTTGATTTCACGCGATAATTACAACGTGCTCTCCGAAGAAATACTCCGGCTGGGGTTCGTGCAGCTATTCAGGTTGGGGAAAGTCCACCCACCGGTTCAGTGGAGCGTTTCTCGGAGTCCATCCGAAGGCCTGTACAGATTTATAGCCTCGGCGACATGTTGACATGCCGCCCGTGCCGACGTCGGGGCCAATTTCTTGAGGCCCAGTCAATCCGAAGGCCAATTTCGGGCCATTGTTTCAGGGCTTACACAAGGCAAAATGCTATTTTTGGAACAAATTCTCATGAATATTATATAGTTTTCTGGAATAGCAGAACATCAAAAAAGATATATAGATCGACAAACATCATTATGAAACTATTTTTCAAATATGTGTATTTGAATTATTTATAAGCTTTATATGAATTTTTATTGAATATATTGCATATAATTAATATATTGCAAATAGTTTCTTATTTTATTTTTGAGAAAAGCTTATGCAAATATATCTCTTTGTGCATACATTTATATTTTATGAAAAATGAAATGCCAAGAAAGTATTTTAGGAACTTTTTGGGTAATTCAGATTTTTTTTGGTGGCGGGGTTGGGGTGTCAAAGGGTTAACCTTATTTCCTTGTGCTTTTATTTTTGCCAATTACCGCACGCTTCGTGGCACAGAGCCGCCGCTTCGGGCACTCGCTGCGTATACGTAATTTTTATTGGACACTTCCACGCGTCGTCATCCATCGTCTGCCGTCGTTTCCAGCTGCCAACCATCCGTTTGTGTGTTTGTGTGTCAAGTCGTGAGCTTTTGGCTCGTACGCAGAGTCCTAGGCCAACACGGCGAGCTTTGCTCGGCGAAAGTGCAACCAAAACAAAAACGGATAATTGCACGGCCACCTGAAACTCCAACTATCTGAGTGTGAGTGCGATTGTGTGTGTGTGTGCCCCTCTCTTTCGTTCTCTCAGCTGGAAATCTCTCCACTTGGCCACCTGTGTGTGTTTGCTTGAGTGTGTGAGTGCTTGTGGGCAATGGATGCTGATATTACCGCTACTTCATAAACTCACACAGCTGCCGTTAGTAATTGCTTAAGCCATAAAGTATGCTATCATTTGCTAAAATAATGCTAATGCAAGTGTTAATATCTTACTGGAGATAATATGAAGTTGGAAGCTGTTAAACCAATCTATAAGTTCAGTTCCTAACTTAGTTCATAAATAATTTAAGTATTAATGCAATACTTTTAAAGTTAGTCTATACTTAGAAATAGAAAATTTCTATCTTTGCGAATTTATTTATATTATGTTCAAAGGATGTATTAGGAATTATTTAATACGTTATGAATTTAAGCCCTTTTTAAAATGGAAAGTTCTTAATTTTCTCTAGCCCTTTTCTAATTAATTTTTAAAATTAATTGCTCCTAGGTTTCAGTGACTTTTTTTAAATGCTTAAAAATTCTACCAAAATAAGTTTGTTTTTTTATGATTACCAAAACGTCAGAAAGTGAGTACGTAACGTGTAATCACCCAATACGTTCAATGCGAATCCTTGCGGCTTACAGTTTGAAAGTCACACTCTCCACAGGAGCCAGGAATTGGCGCCAAATGCTTCTCTACACTCTCTCTCTCTCTCTCTGTCTCATTTCCCCCGACGAACGAGCCTAGCCGATGGCCCAGAGCCGAGCACTCGCAGCCGAGTCCTTTGGGCCAACGTCGTGCGTTGAAAGGACCCGAGGGCTGGGGACTTCAGCGGGCCAAGCAGTTTGCGACTGAGACTCGTGACGAACGGACGCGCGGCCAATGGCAAGCGGGCAGTGCGACTCAATCGGACCGCTTTTGGGGCTTCAATTCGATGCGAATTCGACTCGAGCGGAAGCGGAAATACGAATGCCAACGAATTGCCAATGGCGCACGGCTGGCATGTGTGCGTGCCGCGTGCGAGGATCGTCGAGTAAATAAAATTGCCACAGAAACGCAAAGAAACGTGTGAAATCGGAGCTTAGAGCTGTAAATCATAAAGTGTCAGTCAGCAAACGAAATCAGAAAATCAGTCGAGTGTGCTTTCTTCGCCCGAGATATGTGCCATTGCATACTATGGCCAAAGTGTATATAATTTAATTTGGCAAATGTGTTGGAAATTGTATGGCCCGGCGAAAGGGAAAGGAAAAGTGGCATGGGAAACTCCGAGCAGCAGCAGCAGCAGCTGCTACTGCCGCACGGCTTACTGCTTACTGCTTATGCTGGTAATGGGTTAATGCGGTTGAGCACTCGCATGCCTTCACCCTTAACCCTCCACAGCCGCCCCAACGATCCACTCTGCTCCGAAAAAGCAAATATTTCATGTTATTTACCTAGGTGCGCCACTTTCGTTAATTGTATGCAAAAAAGTTGCCAACGTTCGCTGTGTGTGTGTGAAGTTCTTGGCTCAGGTTTATTCGCTACAACAACTTTTGGGTGGCGGGTTCAATTACAACCCCATCGGCCCATCGTCCCATCGCCACATCGCCTGCCGCACTATTTCCGCTCTAAAATTTGAGCCAACTTTCCGTAGCTACTGCCAGCCAGCTGGGCTCCACAAAGTCCTGGTGCCACAGCCGAAAAAACCTGCGACGTTGCTGCGCCTCAGTGGCGTTCACTTAGTAAATAAATTGGCAATCGCATTTAATGTGAGTTTATGTGCGTCGCTACCTTGGCTTCGCCAGGTAGTTATTTTGGTTTTTTTTTTTGGTTTTGCCTTCCATTCCTTGGCTCGTGCTCATGTGCAAATCGTAAATTCACGTTAATGCCGAAATTTCACGTGATAATGACGTGATTACCTGGCGCACACAGGCCCAGAATGTTGCGATCCCTGCACATGTCTCCATGTCTCCATGTCGCCTGCCTATCCTTGTCTGCCAGTAGCTGGTTATAAACTATGCCTAAATACGTAACATCCACAGCCAAATGGGGCAACTGTGGCACTCACTCCGCTGGCAACTCAACTGAAAAATGAGTGCCCCCAAAATAGTTGCAATGCATTCAACTGAGCCAGTCGAGTGCGGAGTGCCAGTCCTGGCCAGGAATTTCTGGTTAGGCCCAAGCGTAAAATTGTTGGCGTACTTTCCAAGTGCTGTTCAATGAGTTGGAGTTGGAAATTGCTGCAATTGTTTAGTCTCACCGCGCCCATTCGTAATCCCAAAAATTAAAGTGAAAAAAAGGGTTTTGTCTTTTTAAAGCGTTCGCCCGCCAACTGTCTCAAAGTTCCTTTGCAATCGCGTAATTTGGCCGTATTCTTTGCGTTTTATTTGCAACTTTTTAATTACTTTTGAGCAGCGATTTGAACTTTGCGCCTGTCGCCCGTTTACACTCTAATTAAGCGGCCCATTCAAGAGCCCTGTTTTGTTTTTTCTTCTCCTTTGGCCCCGCTCCTTATCGGCCGAAGAAGAAGAAGCAGAGGACGAGCAGAAGTTCTCGGGGATCTTAAATGCAGCTGTCCGAAGTTGGCGGCGCTTTAAACGCTCGCTGGCATTTCCGTTTCCGTTAAATCGCTCCTAAGCCAGTTTGTTAGTTTTACCTTGACATTTTATGCAGTTTTTCTCGGTGTTGTGTGTGTATTTTTATTCCGGCTACCTTTTGTGTGCTTGTGTTTTGCTTGTTACCTGCGCGCAGTTTTTTCTACTTACACAGCGAAAACCGTAGATCGTTTAGTGGTTTATTTAAGTGAAATTATAAAAATATTTATAGTTCTTGTGAGAACGTTTTATATTTTATATATAAAGAGTGAAGATTATATTTAATAATTGAAATAATTGTAATCTTCTTCTTTTTTAAACCAAGATTAATTTATTGGGGAAATTTATTATACAATACTTTTAAAGATAATATTCGTTAATTAAAAAGAACTTCTATAGTAGCACATTGTTTTATTTTTTTAAATGGACCCTTTTTTATTTTTTGATTTTAGAATTTAAAAAGGCTGCTTAAAAATTATAACATTTTTTTTGAGAATAGTATTTAATAGTTCGTTTTATTAAAGATGTAGGTGCAATTTAAATTCATTGAAGACTTTAGTTTCCCAAACTCGTTTTTGCATAAGTTAATTTAAGTATTTATATAGTATTTCATTATCCTGTATAATTTTTTTGGAACTCAAACATATATTCTTTCTTTAATTTATAACTTTACAGTACATAATCAGTTTAAGGTGAAATATTTTTCCGTGTGCAGTAGCAATAGCAGCAGCTGCTTGTCGGACAACTTTAACAATATTTGTTTTGCTGCAACACTCCCCCACCTTCCGCCCAGCGATCCATTGCCTTTGTTCGTCGCGGGCTCCATTCACTTTGAATTCCCCGCTGTCCGCGCCCGAATCATGAATCATTTCCACCGCTGCACCCACACTCACAGCCACATCGCTCCTTCCTTTTGGCCACATCTAAGTGTTGTTTAATGCAGCTTTTCAACTCATTCGCTTTGACATACACGTGTGCCCGGCTCTGGCTTCCACTTTCCACTTTCTACTTTCTATTTCCTATTTGCCTTTGCAACCTGCAACCTTCCTGCCCTTTTTGCATGTGGCATCAGATTTGCTTATGCAAATGTGTCGCTGCGAAGGGGATTTGCCATTTGCACCGCTCGTCCTCGATCGAAATGTTTACGATTTCTATTCGAGGAGGTCTGATGTCATGGCTTGTCGATGGTCGATGAACGGTTTAAATAATTGCCACCGCAATAAATTATTAAATCAACAACAATTACTCACCGGCCGGCCAACGGGAATCAATCACTGTTTGTGAAGGGGTCGAAAATCGGGTGAAATGAGGTGAAATGGAGTGGATTCATAAGCTGACAAAATGCCACCTCAAACTACGCCGCAGAAGGTGTATTATAACGAGTTTCATGACAGCAATTATGCGAGGTGGGGGTATCATATGAGCACCCCCCCCCCCCACTTATTAATACGCATACGCAGTGTTGCCCGCGCAGGCTAATATGTAGTTTGGGGCGTTGCTTTTCGAGGGCTTTGTAATCGATATTACAATGGCATTGTGTTAGCTCCCCGATATGCTGGTGGGACAGGTATTTTTCCGTTTTTTTTTATCGTTCCCTGCATCGCTTTCAGTATAATCGAGGGGGTTTTGTTTGCCCGGGGGAGTTGACAATGCATGTTTAATGTACTTTGCCTGTAATTTGTAATTAATAATACATGGGCTGCAGGATGCCGACTACCGCCGCCGCCGCCGCCTGAGATTTTACCATATGCCAAGTGCAATCGGCTTTACAAAGCTTTTGGTACCCACATGCAATCTATGGCATAGAGAGCTCTTTCCCATCGTTGCCTACTTTCCTGCGTTCCCCTATTTGCACTCCGATTTTAGCCGAGTCGAGTTGAGAGTTCAGTTCAATTCAATTCGATTTGATTCCGTGTTACATGTCGGCAGTTTGCCATGTGCCAGCTGCCTGACAGCCAGATCACCATCACCGAGCCAGCTGCTGTTGGTACACTTTATGTCATTTTTTGATTTATGTGTGATTAGTATTGGCCGTCCTTCGTCTGGCCCTGTCAGTTGGAGCCCAGAATTGTGATGGTGGGATTTGTGCGGGGGAAAAAGTGAGATTTTCCATTTGTCTGGCTCTCTTGTCAGTTGTCATTTCATATGAATACATTACGATATTCGAAGTATAAGTCTGCCTCGATGCCAGGCACTTTCAACAGCCTTCGGTTGACTTTTTGCCAGCAGTGCAGCCGTAGAGAAGTAGGATTCTGATTCGGATTCGGATGCGAGTCAACCCTTGAATTACACGCCTCGATGTTTCTGTAAAATGTGCAAATGAAGTTGCCTTGAGGAATTCTCAGGCGGGCACACATGGGGCGAGAGATTTGAACAATATAAACAATGACAGGCCATAAAATATGCAAGCACCCTAAATACCTGCAAGGCTCTAGGAGGTTTTTTTTTTTTGCTTGGGAGCCATGTTTGCTCGCCTGATTCCGATTGTTGATGTAAATGTCAGAATAAATAATAAATACCAATTTTTGGCGCCACTCTGCCAGTGAAAATTCCATAACGCAGGGTCGTTTTCGTTTCGTTTCGTGACTTTAACGAGGCTTTAATTTCAGAGATTATGGATTTAATCCGCTTTTAATTACAGGCAGTGTTCCTGCTGCCACCGCTGCCGACGGTCGTGTATAATTAAAGTATCAAATGTGTTAATTGATTATGCAATTAGCGGACCAAGCGTGTTAGTTAATTAAACGTCGATGAATAAATTTATGGTATTTATATATCCATCAATGGATCGCTGTGAATGGGGGGAAGAGAGGTTTATTAAATTACGAAAAGTCCGCAGATGAAGGCACTTGAACTATTAGTTTATTTGCCGTAAGCACTCATTCATTCCCATTCAGATGGGAAACTTCTTTGGTTCCTCTTCCTGCTTTCCGCTTCCTGCTTCCTGCTTTCTCCGCTTTCACCGCTCCCTTTCTCCGCTCCCTTTCTTTCTGCTCTGCTCCGCTGTGCTCTCATTTATTCATACGTGCGCTTATTGCAATGTTCATTGCTTCATATTCATTATGGCAATGGAGCAATGTGCGTTCACTTCTTCAGACAAGAGTGCCGTGTGTGTGTCCGTTCGATACGTTCGATAATCCAATAAATATTTATGAAGCACTTTATTGGAACAACACTGAATTACTTTATGGCAGATGTATGTATGCATGCCCATCCATACGTGTCTAGAGCTCCTCCCACAGCCATATGCAGCAGATCCTGGGAGCAGATCCTGGAAGCAGGACCAGAAAAACTAACAGCCAAGCAGCTCTGTTTCATGCGGGCAAGGAAAACATTGGGCGGTGTGTGTGGCTCAAAAAAGGAACTATATTTGGCATAAAGTGCTCCCTCTTTCGCATATTGCTCATACGCACCGTAGTCCGCTTTGATGCGGTCAGACGTGGCTTGTTGGTATTTCGGTATTTTTGGTTTTTAATATTTTTAAGAGCCCCGTCTGTGGGGCTGAGGACCTTCCAGCCACACTAATTGCC